CTTTGCAAGCGGGGCACCCCTGAGAACTGTCTGTCCGGGGTGGGGGTCGGGACCCTTTAAGCACAGCCCTTGGCTAGCCTGAGACAGCATCGCCACGCTCTAAGTCCGCCTCTGATGCCCTGCCGGCACTGCTTCCGGCCATCCTTAACCCCAGTTCAGGGTCCACTTAATGTGGACATGCTAGTTCGAATTAGCAAAATGCTAATTTGAACTAGTTTTTTAGTCTGGATCCGTTAGTTCGAATTAGCTTAGTTAGTTAAGTTAGTTCGAATTAGCGCTGTAGTGTAGACATACCCTTACTGTTTATGTACAGCACCTCTCACAGTGGGGTTCTGATCTTGGTTGAGGCCTCTAGGTGTTAATGTATTATAAACAACAGAAGCACTCCAGTGTGGTCTGACTGTGGCATAAATAAAGAGGACCTCATCTGCATGGGCAAGTTGCCCAGCTATAACTTAAGATGAGCATTTAAACCTGTTTACTTAAACCAGTGCAAAACCCTGTGTGGCTGCCCTTATTCTGGTACAAAGGTGGCTTTTCTTGGTTTTGTGTATGTGTGTGTGTTGTTTAGTTGAAATCTAGTTAGAACAGGTTTACATTAAACTGGAATAAGAGCACGCACAAAGGAGTTTGCACTGATGTTGCTATATTGCTTTCAAAACAGATTTAAATTAAACTGGTGCAGCTCTCTTATGCAGTCATGGCCCAGGGGGGTGCCTGCTTGTCTCACATGCGTGAGGCTTTAGTTTATTAATGTTTGTAAAGTGTGTTTAGAGCTTCAGATAGAACAGGGGTGGGCAACAGAGCCACCGAGGGCCGGATCCGGCCTGCCAAGTGGGTGGGAAATTAGGCCCTGGGGGCGGGGGAGCACGCAAAGTTTCCTCCGCTCTGCCAGTAGCACACAGCTCTTGAAAGCACCAGGCGCTCCTGACAGGGCGAAGTTTCCTCCACTCTGTCCCTACCCTCTGAGCAGCACGTGGTGCTTAAAAGCATCATGCGCTCCTGGCAGGGTGGGAGGAGGCTTTGCGCATGCTTCCAGCCCCAGGTTCTACTTGGCGAAGCCTCCTTCCACCCTGCCAGGAGTGCGTGGTGCTTTTAAGCGCTGTGCAGGGCAGGGACAGAGTGGAGGAAATTTTGCACACTCCCCCAACCCCAGATCCTATTTGGCCTGGGGGCATGGGAGCGTGGAAAGTCTCCTCCCAGCCAGGGGCATGGGCACCCAGGGAGAAGGGGGGGCAGGAGGGCAAAGGCGCTCCCCCACGCCCAGACCAATCATGCTCTGGGGGTGGGGAACCCGGAAGTATCCCAGCTACACCTCTTCCACTCCAGGCCCTTCACCTTCTGGTCTAGCTCGGGCCCACCCCTGAGATAGAAGGTGCTGTGGAGGGCAAAGTCTTGTTGGCTGAAATATGCTGACTGGGTATAAAAGGCTGAGGCATGGGAAGTGATCGCTTTTAGCAATCAGGGTGTGTCTAGACTTCCCCTGCATCTAGACTGCTGCCGCGTTCTTTCGAAAATAAATCGAAAGAACACGGCAGTTTTTTTGACCGCGGAAAACCTCGTTTTACGAGGAAGAATGCCTTTTTTCGAAAGTGCTCTTTCGAAAAAAGGCGCTGTGTAATGCAAACTGTGCTTTTTCGAAAGAGAGCATCAAGACATAGAGCAATAACAAGTCTCCTTTTTTTTAAAAAGAAGCTGTTGAAAAGACATCGTTTTAGTCAGAACATAGGAAAGACGTTTAAGTGTTGATATGTCATTTTGAGATTATTTTCCCTCATATTTAAATTTTAAATTCAATTTGTGATGGTTGCTGTAGATTTTTTCTGACTTGTTAGACTGAACTTGATTTTACTGTTGTCCTCCCATGTTGGGATAGTTCTTTTCATAAACTAAGAAACAAGTTCATGGAGCAATGACAATTTACCCTTGCTAGGGACCTGCCCCCAAGGAGGAAGGCCGATAGGCTTGCCAGGCCCCTGGGAAAGATGAGGAGGGCCTGGATTTGTGCTCCCAGAAGTGTCAGGGCCTCAGATCGAAGGGGTGGGGCCAATGTTCTCTAGAAATGTTTTCATTCATGTGCAGATTTTTTCCATCTGTGCGCAGAATAAATTTTTATATGTGCACCGAGGCAGGTGTGAATGTGCACCACTAGGAGAAACACAAACCTAGCTGTGGGCACTCTGCTACTCAGCTGAGCAGCATTGGAATCTCTCCTGAGTGGCCGCACAAGCGCACAGCTTACAGGGAACAATGGGCAAAGTTGGGGGCAGTACTCTGGGGTTCCTTCTTCACAGCCAGCTCTCGAGAGCTGCCTGTGCCTGGTGCCCTTCCAGAACACCTTCCATTGTCCGGGACCTTTGAATTGTAATGCAGTATTGAAGAGTGCACTGATGCAGGTAATTTACTTTACATTTGTCTAAAATTTCCTGAATGAAACTTAAAGACAGTCCAACAGCAGAAGATCTGGAAATCTCTCCAGCTTGGGGGGAGGAGGAGAGAAATTAATAGAATCTAAATAATTGAAGACGACACCAAAGAGATATTTTACTACAAAAAAGGAAAAGTGCTTGAGACTCCAGGAAGTCCATTAAGGGCTTTGCTACTACTATAGATTGTACATGTAAGCAGTGGCAATTACTGAAGAGGGATATGGGGGAAAGGAAGGACCACTGGCTCTGTGACCTCCTCCCCACGCCAGGGAGAGCTGGGACAGCCCCACCTGCCCCAGGCTGCTGGGGAGAGTGCAAGCTCCCGAGACTCTAGTCCCTACCCACAGGGTTTGAGGGGCATGTGCCCTGTGCAGCCCCAATGCATCACTCCTGCATGGAAGGTGCTCAGAAACTAGCTATGGATGGCAGCATAAAACCTTAATTCAGCGAAGGATGTATATAACTACTTAAGCCTTTGCTGAATTGGGGCCTACCTATAGTCTCTCATTCACTACTGAAATGTTGCCCTGCTTTCTATCCAGCAGTTGATGCTAGACTGTGTTGCTCCCATGTTTTCAAGCAGACATTCTCCCATACTGCCGCTTATGCTTGGGATGAACTTGCTGGAAATAGCCAGAGAGATACCCCATTCTTTCCTTCAAATCCCTCCTTAAAACACTTCTTTGCTGTGATGCCTACAATACATTTTTCCTCAGGCTGCTGGTACTAATGAATGCACCTTCTGAATCACCAACATCACTTCCTGCAGTACCTGGGCTTTCCTCTGGAAACCACCCAACTTAGTCAATTCCAGGCCCACACTGGACTAATTTTACATGAGTAGAGAGAGAGAGAGAGAGAGAGAGAGAGACTTTTAGGTGTTGAGCTACAGGCCGGGAGCTCTAGACCATGAATCATGTGGTACAAGTTTTTGGTTTTGTTTTGAGAAATAAAACTTCCTACTTTTGCAGTGACTGTTTTCTCTTGTGGCATCTGGAGACTGCTACATGTTATTAAAAGCTAATAAAATGTGCTCTGTCAGATGAAATATTTAGTAAGCATCCTTTATGGTAAGCTTTGTTGGAGGGACTTCAGACATATGTACAGTAAAAGCTCTGTTATTTGGCATGTTGGGGGAATGAAGGGAGCCAGTTAATTGCTGCTTCTGGTTAATTGAGAGTTATACTTTATCAAAGGAATGCCAATGTTCAAAGAATTAGAATACAGTAAAATGAATAAAGTATAAAATAATACATGGGTACTCACCAATCCAGTATGTTGGACTTCACTGCAAAGTGGTTGTTTTCTTGAAGCACATAGGTCTATACAGTAGGTTATTTTACGACACTATATACACTCAGTGCATGTTATACACCCAGAATACTAAAAATACACTTAACTCTAAAGCTATATTGACCATAATTTAATCTTCCTTTGATTCAGAAGACACTTCAGGATCTTGCAGATCATCATTAGCAACATCAATTACTGGAGATGTAGGCGCAGGAGTTTGGTCTGGATCTGCAATGACACCATGACACACTTTTTTTAATAAATCCCTAATTTCAGCTTGCTTGTTTTTTTGCCACTTTTGCATAAAAGTAGAATACAGAATGTGTGATTGCATAAAGTGCTGGGCAGTATGTTAGTCTCGGTTACTAGATTGAAAAGTTGTATTTGGAGAAACGAGAAATGCCAGTTAATTGAGCTTTCTGGTTCGTTAAGTGCCAATAACAGAGCTTTTACCCTACAAAGAAATGGCAGTTGTATTGTGTACACCATGATACTGTGTGTTCTGTATTGTCCAATCCTTGTCTCCATTGTAGTATCCCACATAGGAGAGAAGAAGCAGGGCTTTGTTGTAATGAACATAAAGGGGTTTTCTGTTAGTTCTCTGACTTTGTAGCTTCGAGTCTGATGAGAAGAGCATGTTTTGCTTGTGGTTGTCACCAAGTGCCTGTCCTCCTGAGCTAAGCAGCTGTAGAAGAAATTGCTGATTACACCCATGTGTTAATAATGTACAGCGTACGCCTGGCCATTGTGACCTGCCTGCATATTTCATCCTGTACTCAAAGGGTTAACTGTTATTCCATTAGTTACAATAGAATGTGAACTCTGTGCTGCAGGATGTCAGTAGGTGCTGCTGGCTAACAAAGAGGAAAAAATACAAAAGGAGCAAAACTAACGTATTTTACAATAGAATGAGGTGTTCACAGAATACCATTGAGAGTAATGTGAGAAATATTGGATAGCACAATTCAGCCATGGAAACTGAATTACATTCTAGATTTTGATTTAATTTTGTTTGTACCTTTAGGCTGCAATTCTGCAAAGCACTTGAATACATGCTTAACTTGTGGCATGCGCTTACGTCCATCTTTCTTTCGCAAAGCCCTCAGGCAGCCTTTGAACTCAGTGGGGCTCGGGCTCTCCCTCTGCAGAACCACTGCTCAGCAGAGCGCTGTTGCCGGAGACGACATGATGGGAAAGACAAATCAGAGCAACATCCCAGTGATTATCACTGTGTAGATTGTATGTTTGCTGACTCCAGCTTCTCTTTTTCATTATTAGGAAACAGTGGATTGGTTCAATGCCATCCGTGCAGCACGGTTTCATTATTTACAAGTGGCATTCCCTGGAGCTAGCGATGTTGATGTGAGTTTTTCCTCATCTTTTTTAGCATCTCGTTAACAAGCTGGAAAGCCTGGAGAATACTCCATCCTTCAGAGTCTGCTTTATAGTTATTATGTTTAAATTATTTTACTGAGAACTAGAGTCCAGGTGCAACACCTGCTACTACATCTAGCCATGGAAACTGGGGTGGGAGGGTGTCTGTTTGAATTCCTGCATTCTTACCTGTGTCGTGCCAGAGTCTGTTTCTGTTATTGTAAAGTGCTGATTGCTACAAAGCCACACAAT